GAAATTATCAAAACTAAGATTTCTATCTAGGGCAATAGGTTAAGTGGTATTTTGGCAAAAGAGCGAGGGATAGAGAAAGGATGAGTATAAAAAAGAGCTAGGGTGGGAAAAGAGGAGATGATGAATGAGGTTTAGACATGTTTAATTTAAAGTGTTTGTTAAATATGCAGATGAGGCTTAAGGGAGTTGGGGGTGTGAGACATAACTGGTAGTTGGAACCTTGGGAGCAAATGAGATTTCCTAGATCAAATGCACAGCTTATCACTACAAAGAGGCTGAAAATGTTTAATTTAGCTGGAATTCAAACTTACAGTTACTTATTCTTATTAGCCTGTATAGACTACAGCATAAGAAGTACTTGTTCTTGGTACCTGGTTTTTGGCATCTGACAAGTAGGAAAATTGAAAAACAAAAACTCTAAGAGAGAGAACCCCAGCTCAGGATACTCCCCTACTCTTGGGAATGGGAGCCAGAGAGAGGGTATCTCCAGGTCAAACTTCAGTGTCCACAGGGGACTGGCAATCCTAGTCCCCACCCAAATTAGCTACCAGCTCTGAGAGGCCTGATCTGTGGGGGTCCCATGAGAGGTATTTTTTGAAGTTAGATGGAGAGCAGCATCACAGGTTCAGATTTGGATCAGCCATGCATGAAGAGTATAGCAGACAATACTGGACCCTCAGGAGAAGGGGCTGGTATTAGGGTCCCAGGCAGGCAGGCCAGAGTTCAGGGCAAGGGTTCAGACCCAGTGGAGCAACTGGATTGCAAATCAGGATACCAAGGTGGAGAAACAGTCTCCAAATAAGGTAAACACAAGTTGAGAGAAAGAGATGCTGCCCAGTGGTTATAGGAAACCTAGGCACTCACCAGGGATCCAGGGTTAGGGCCAGAAGAGCATTTCTAGACCCTACCCTCCAGTGGGAATGGGGGTCCTGATAAACTTGGTCAGGGCAGTTTGGGGACTGGATGGCATTCATCTTACAGTTTGAAACCTGTGGTGCGGAAGGAGGGATTGGCATTTTTACTTTTATCTCCAACACGTCACTCTGTGGTTCTCAAAGATCCAATAAACTGACATTTACTTGGAATTCTAGTCCTGTCTTCTCCAGATCTACCTTTAGCTTAGAGTCCCATTGTGCCTGTACATACACACATGTGTATGCATGTGTGCACACACACACAGGGTTACTCTCTACTTCTGAGTTCCAGGAGGTGCATAAGTGATGTGCAGTGAGGAGCATACCCAGGCACTGTCGCTGTTGAACTCCTGCACATTCTTGTGCAGGTTTTGCCCTATATACACTCGGCATCTCACACCTTGATCTCTCTGCTTGCGTAGCTCTAGGTTTGTAACTTCACAGAAGTCAGCAGACTGCTCTTGATAGCTTCAGCAACATTAGCAGCTACATTTATTGAATGCTCACTATATACCAGGTATTATTCTAAATACTTAGGATACAATCTCACTTAACCCTCAAACAACTCCATAAGGTAGTTACTATTATTCTGGTTTTGCCAGCAAGGAAACTGAAACTCATCAGAGTTGAGTAATTTGCTTGAGGTCATGTAGAGCCTGGATTCTTACTTAGGACTGACTACAAAATCCATGCCTTTAAGTATCATGCTGTAAAAAGGCAGATGTTTCTGAGAATGTATTTTTTATTTTTATTTTTTTGGAGCATGAGTTTATGTTTATGTAATAGAAGCTGAGAATTGACCAACCTCTATTAATAATTGATTAAGAGAGGCCAGTGGCTTGCTCAAATGGCTAATCTCGTTAACAGAGAACAGAGCTTGGAAGGTTATTCTTAGTAATTATCTAATGAACAAAACCCCAAACTTTCTCTCTAAAAAAATAAATAAATCTCACCACACTTTTGTACAGCACCCACCTGGGTGACGAAATGGTCTGTACACCAAACCCCTGCAACACACAATTTACCCATGTAGTGGACCTGCACATGTACTCCTTGAACCTAAAACGTAAGTCAGAAAGGAGAAAAAACAAAAGGCTAGGAAATGTGATTTCCCAAGCAGTGCCAGAATAGCAGTGGAGCAGAAGAGAAGTGTGGTCAAGCACACAGCCTTGTATGGGAATGGTGCCTGTGAGTGGTTATCCAGCCTCAACCACTGTTAATTGAAGTTATTTCACCTCACTTGTTCCCATTTTTGTTACCTGAAAAATTGGGGTGTAACTAAGGATTTGAAGAATAATTACAAGGTTAAAAAACGCACTAGAATTTAAGGAGAAACTGTAAAGAAATTGATTTTCCTAATCTAGCTACGTAAGTGAGGGAGAAAGGAATTAGCCACATCAACATTTAGTGGTGGTGAAGGGAAGCATGGGAACTAGGATTCTTCAGTGGGCTTCCAGATGGAATTGTTTGCCTTTTGATGGGGCTGATCTGCATAATCTGGATGTAATCAAGCCTGGTGGTGATGGATGGTTATCAAGATTCAGGATGGGAGGTGAGGGGAAAGGTTGGCAAGGTGAGGGAGAATTAGCATTTGAGACCTACTCTTTACCGGTCACAGTGCTCTTCTACTGAGTCTACTCTCTGAAGGTGCCCAATGAAAGAACGTTTGTTAACAACTCTGAGAGTAAGTATTATGATGCTCATTCTATAGGTGAGGAAAATGAGTCTCCGATTGCTTAAGAAACCATCACTAGTATATGATCAGATGAGATTCAAAGCCATTCCTATTTGATGCCAACACTATTTTACTATACTTCTGACTCATTTAACTAATTTCCTCTGCAAAGTCCTAGAAATTCCCATATTAATAGCCATTCACTTGCTCATACATTTCTTCATTTATTCTGTAGGTAGCTATTGAGCACAGGGTAGTTCCAAAATGCTTTGCGATTTGATGAATCTCAAATACTCTGTTGTATTCACTTCCAGATGTTACAGAATGCAGAAACCCTTTTCCCCAACAGGAATCAGGACCTACTTTTTCATTGTTCCTTTCACTGAATAGAGACATAGGTCTGGATGTCAGAAGATGTTAGTACAAATGTGTATCTTTCCCTTGTCAAGAGTCCTTCAGTAAAGAGGCATATTCATAAATAAGTTTATGCTTTAGCTGTGGGAGTGAGTTGGCTTTGCAGGATGTCATTGTGAACACTGGCACTAATAAAGGGCAGGACCCCATGGAAAGTAGTCCTTTATTGCATGTCTCTGCCCCAAGCTACTTGAAGCTGACTTAGCAGTCTCCTGGATTCAGTTTGGAACTTCTTTATCATATCTTCATATTTGTTTTTTCTGCCTCTCATCATAATTCTGTTTCTGCTTCTAACCTCACATCAAGCTAGAAACTCTTGACTCTCCGATTCAACTGAGAAAGTTATGTTCCCTTTGCTTGGAATTTCTAGATCTTATCATTGAGTTCATGTGGGACCTTTGCTTCTCACACACTCCCCTGGTCTCTCATTCACTGAAATTTCTCATTCTTTCTTGGTCACCAAGCCTCAGGTTGGATCTTTTTACCACTTAAACTTCTCATCTGCTTTTTAGCACACCCCCCCCTTTTTCCTTCTTTTGATTACCCTTCAAAGCTTTTGAACTTAGTCTACTGCATTTGATCTGAAATCCTCCATTTCTCTCAAAGACTTATTTTCCTCTTCATCTGTGTCCCCTTTGCTGGGTCACCAGCTAGAAGGGAAGTCACTTCCTCCTGAAGTGATACTTCCTGGCTTCATTGTCATTATTTATCAAATATTTGTTGAGTACCTATGGACTTCACAAGCCAGGGCAGCAAGGTAAGATACCTTCCATGCCTGATAAGTCTGACAGGCCTGACAGGCATGAAAAGAAATACCTGGAAGACTGTGAGAGTAAATGTCTAGAAGAAAATGCTGGGTGTACTGATAGCACAAAGGAGGAAGTGATAAACTTATTGGTCAGAGAAGGCTATACAAGAAGCCCTTGAACTGGGTTTTAAAAGATGCAAAAAAGTTGCCCAAGCAACTTTGTGAGGGAAAAGCATCCCAGAAACAGGAGACATCATGTGCAAAGACCTGGAGGCATGAAACAGGATATCCCACTGGGGAAGCTGTTAGTTGTTTGATACTCTTGGAGCTTGGTGCTCAAAGAGAGGTGTTTCAAGAGGCAAGAGATAAGGCTGAGGAGGTAAGAGGAACTAGATGATGGAGTACCTTGCCAAGGACTTTGGGTTTTATCCTGAGGGCTATGGAGGATGAGTGAAAGGTCTTAAGAAAGAGAGCCATAACAATCAGTTTAGAAAGATCATCTGAACTGTAGCAAGAAGAGTGTACTGGATGTTGACAGATGGAAGGCAGGAAGACCAAAAGATTATCATAATATTACAAGGAGGAAATGAAGAGAGTCTAAGCAAAGGCAATAGTAATGGGGTTAAAGAGGAGGGATGAAATATTAAAGATGTTAAGAGATTAAGTTGATACGTCTTAATGCCTGACTGGATATAGGGAATGAGGTTGTATTGGTCCACTCTCACACTGCTATAAAGAACTGTCTGAGGCTGGGTAATTTGTGAAGAAAGGATGTTTAATTGACTCACAGTTCCACAGGTTTAACAGGAGGCATGACTGAGAAGACTCAGGAAACTTACAATCATGGTGGAAGGCAAAGGGGAAACAAGCACCTTCTTCACATGGCAGCAGGAGAGAAAGAGAGTGAAGGTGGAAGTGCCACACACTTTTAAACCATCAGATCTCATGAGAACTCACTATCATGAGAACAGCACAGGGGAAACCTGCCCCCCATAATCTAGTCACCTCCCACCAGGCCCCTTCTTCCAATTTGACATGAGATTTGGGCAGGGACACAAATCCAAACTATATTAGAGGGTGTATTTCTGCATAAGGCAACCAGATGGATATTAATGCCATTAATTGTAATTGTGAAAATGAGGTTGAGGGGACACAAGTTAGGGAAGTGAAGTGGAAAGGTGTGACCATGTGGTGGAAGGTGAGGTCCAGGATATGGACACTGTTTGGACATGTTTATTCTGTTTTGCAGCCATGGTCGAAGGCCTTCAGGTCACGGTGCCTGACAAGAAGAAAGTGGCCATGCTCTTCCAGCCCACTGTGCTTCGCTGCCACTTCTCAACATCCTCCCATCAGCCTGCAGTCGTGCAGTGGAAGTTCAAGTCCTACTGCCAAGATCGCATGGGAGAATCCTTGGGCATGTCCTCTACCCGGGCCCAATCTCTCAGCAAGAGAAACCTGGAATGGGACCCCTACTTGGATTGTTTAGACAGCAGGAGGACTGTTCGAGTAGTAGCTTCAAAACAGGGCTCGACTGTCACCCTGGGAGATTTCTACAGGGGCAGAGAGATCACGATTGTTCATGGTAATAATGCCCCTATTTTGAATCTAGGAATGGGAGGGAGGTTAGTTTCATTCTTCCCTTCCCTTATGTCAGTAAGGTGATATCCTAGCCTCTCACCCTTTCAGACCCTCGGGACTTTTATTTTGTTGGAAATGGGAGCATCAAGAGACCTATCATTGCTTCAGCGGGATGGTGAGGGGGAAAAGGGTGAATCGTGTAAAATCTCTCGAAGACATACAGATGAACTTTGGAAAGAGTCTTTCCAGAGCCCAGCATCAAGCCTCAGGAGCTTGTTTTTAGAGCTGAATTGAAACATGTTTTAGGGGAAAAACTTCTTCAGTCAAACAACCTATACCTTGACATCAGCCTTTAGGGTCCTTTCCCAAATGTGGAAAGCAGACTCTTCGCAGGGAGAAGGGATGTATGCATACAAATAACAGAGCCAGGTAGATGCTTGACCCAAGCCCCAGGTGGCTTTGCATCAATTCCACCCTTTCTCTTGCTCTCTAAAGCTCTGGACATCAAAAGGTCCCAAGAGTCTGATATGACCTATTTGATTATTTGAATTTTGAAGAACTCCTGTGATTTTAGCTTATCTCCAGGAGTTCAAAATAATTCTGGCATTTTCCTGGCTCTTAGGGGCCTCTGCAGGCCTGGTTCAAAGCCATCTCCTACTCCTGAAACTGGACTAGAACTAGACCAGTTTCTGGCAGGCTCTAATTGTCCTTCCTTAGAGATGCTAGTTTTTGTTATGGTTCTGTTGGTCTTGTTTGTTTGTTTTAAGCAAAGCACACATCTTTCAACCACCATCCAGATAAAGAAAGAAAATACTGCAGATACCCTAGAAGGGTTCTCCCCTCCCAACCCCCATTGTTCAATGTTTTTCTTTCAGAGGACAGAGTTTTAGGACTGAGTCCTTCTTTTTGTGATAACAGATGCAGATCTTCAAATTGGAAAGCTTATGTGGGGAGACAGCGGACTCTATTACTGTATTATCACCACCCCAGATGACCTGGAGGGGAAAAATGAGGACTCAGTGGAACTGCTGGTGTTGGGTAAGTGAAAACCACAGGTGACATTTTCATCTTAGACCGCTTGCACTTGCATTGTATCCTATTCCTCTTCTCACTTCTACCCCTGTGTGCATTAGCAGGTTGCATACACAGTTTTATCTTTCATGCACACTCCCTTTTAGAATATGCTGTTTATGAGCAGTAGCTGTACTTATTATGTCTTACTTCTTGAAAGCTATGACCAGCCACCCGCCCCCACCTTTTATCATTGTCCCGAATATTTCTTCTGCTTTCTTCCTTTTTTTTTTCCCTTTCCACTTTCACCTTTAACCTTGATTTCTCTCTTTGTCTTGTTATATGCTAATTTTGAAGAAAATGCTAGAGGCCTTTGAAGCAAGGTAGAGATTACACAGAGATAAGAATTCTGATGTGTCAGAACCTCTGGAGACATCAGGAATCTTTTCCCACTGGGTTATCTCCACTTAAAACAATCATAAGAAAAGATAGCTGTAAACTAGAGAGTTCAGTAATAAAAGATACCCAATAAAAAGAGCTGCTTGGGAGATGTACTAGTGTTTAATTGGAAGCCAGATATCTTGAAACCTGAAAGTGTCCAAGTTATTCTCAAAGCAAATACATCTAATCCTTATTAATATTAATCTCCTCATAAATGAAAACTCATTACTTTTGGCTACTTTCCTTTTTTGTGGATTGGAGGAATGTCAGTGGGAGCTGACCTCTTTGTATGAAACTGAAAATTGAGCACATATTTTGTGCTCTATTAATGTCGTTTGAACAAGAAAATTAGAACATACAGAAATAAGAAAGGAAACTGCATAGTTATAGGGAAAAAGGTAGTTCAGGAGATACACTTAAAACCATTTTTCAAAAGAAATTACATTTTTGTCGCTTCCAAGAAACCAGGTGATAGCAATTTGGAGGAATTCGTAAGGGTGCCTCCTATTAAAAGTAAATGAGGTTGAAGGTTGATTGGTACCCTATGCAAAAATTGTAGAGAAACTCACTCCCTAGGGAGAAAGGATTTTTAGTTTTAGTCTTTATCATGATTGTGTGACTTTGGCAAAATAACTATTCTGATGCCTTAACATTGTATTTTTTATTGTTTTACTTTACAAAATTATTTTATTTGATTTTATTTTTGAGACAGAGTCTCACTCTGTTGCCCAGGCTGAAGTGCAGTGGCTCAATCTCAGCTCATTGCAACCTCTGCCTCTCAGGTTCAAGTGATTCTCATGCCTCTGAGTAGCTGGGACTATAGGCGTGTACCACCACGCCCTGCTAATTTTTGTAGTTTTTAGTAGAGACAGGGTTTTGCTATGTTGGCCAGGCTGGTCTCAAACTCCTGTCCTCAAGTGATCTGCCCACCCTGGCCTCCCAAAAGTGCTGGGATTATAGGTGTGAGCCACCTCGCCCACCCAGCCTCATTATATTTTGTAAATTGGATTAAGGTAATAATGGTCTGCCTTATTAGAAGGTTGACTTAATTCAAACAAAGTCTTCGGGTCCAATATATAAAGTGTAACTTGTGACTTGTAAAAGAATGGAAATATGACTGATATTCAGCAGGAAATGAAAAAGTAAAAGGCTTATATTGACATTGTAATAGAACATAGGGAGATCAGATCTGGGATCTGCTGTGACTCTGTAAATCAGAAAGGAATAAAAAGACACATTTTTGCTTAATCACAACTCTAATAGCCAAGTTTGAAGGAACACGTGGCTCACTGAGCCCACAATTAGCTAATTGCGAACATAGTTATTTGGCCAGGGCAGCCATTTGCAGAGAAGTAATTGCCTGTGCAGGAAGAGGAGGCCAGGTAAAAACCACTTAAAATAATTTGGTCCCAGTTGTTCTGCAAACATGGGGAAATGAATAGAGTGAAAGCTTTGTCATCTGAGGATGTGTTAAAGTGTATGAAGGGCAGTCCTCTGGATCAAAACATGCAAAGCAACTTGGGCAAAAATGCTATTCTCAAGGAAAAAAAGAGCCAGCAGCGGAGAAGTGAGTAAAACAGAAGTTCAGATGACAGTGGTCGCCAATTATGGGAGGAAAGATGAAGAAAAAATATCAGTATTAACTCTAAAGGAATCATAAAGGAAAACTTACCAAGGCTGCAAATCCAAACTCGTTGCAGTAGAAGCAGCCTGTCCATGAAATAGAGGCATGCTGGGGCTCTTGGTGGGGAAGAAACACATCATTCTGTTTTGTTCAACATTAGACATGTTCAAAGCATGATAAATTTGTCATGGAAACTTTTTAGGGCAACACTAGCTGTGTACTTATTTAAACGGGTTAGTTTGAAATCTACAAAAATTTTTTGAGTCCATAAAGCACTGTATTTACTTTCCAAATACAAAATTCTGAGTCTTTTTTGTCTTCACACCTCTTTATACAATATTTCAAAATGCTGTCACAGTTGTAAAATCTCTTATTTTGGGATTATTTCATCCTACTGGCCTAAGTATTCTTTTTATGTGAGACCAGAAGAGCAAGCTGATTTCTGAGTTCATTCCTAAGGAGATGAAGACCTCTGTGGGAAGATAACTGGGACCCACAGTTTGCTAATTATAATGTTCATGAACCACTGGTTCAGTCATTGAATTTTATATGAGGGATGATTGGAGGATTTGGTCTAGCAAAAGTGGACTTGGAACAGTGGGCATGAGAAGTGTCTCCAAATATCTGAAGTGAAATTATATAGAAGACAGAATGGAAACATACTCTGTCTGGCTAGATAAAATGGAATCAGGAGTGGAAGTTACAAAGGAAAGGAGTCTATCTCAGTGTAAAAGAAGAGCTGGAGACTTCTAACATTAACAACTGGAGACATCTAAAGATGGAATAAGTGTTCTCAGAAGTGAGTTCTATGTCTCTGGAGGTACTTATGCACAGGAAAAGGTATTCAGTTAAGTTACTTTTGAGCTTTATTTCTATTCTAAAGTTCTTGGTTTAAAAAGCAGATGAACATGATTGATGTGACTCCCTTGATGAATAAGAAAATGATCTCCCAGGAAATCAATCCTCATGACAGAGATAAATGGAGAAACAGGTTGGTTATAAGAACATACAGGGTGATTGATGTTCATTCACAAGGAACCCGGAGGAATAAACTGTGGTCTTTTGCAGTAGGTCAGGGCTAAGAGGACTAATCCCTCAAGAGTGAAGAAAGAAACTATTGATGTTGGCTTGAAAGAGTCAACTGCTGTAGCTTTTCTTGGAGATGATCACAAAATGGGGAGCAGAAAATAGGTTGGAATTACAGAAGATTAATTAGTAAAGAAAGACGGGTTAAAGATATAAATTAGAGGCAAAGTTAAGAAGAATTTGGTTTCTTCATTATACTCAGAAACATGAGGATGAAAAAGTTGACGGAGCAAGATTGTGAAGTATCTTATATGCAAGACTAAGAAGTTTGGACTAGATTCTGAAGACTTAGGGGAACCAGTGAAGAAATCTTAACAGAGGAATCAGATTAGATCTTAGGGTCAGAACATTTATTAGCAAGCAGGGTAGGAGAAGTTTCTGTTGACCCAGTTTGGTCAGTTGTCCCCTGCTTAGCCTTTTGAGGCTGGGGCTCTTCGTGGTTACTTTATCAAGAAACAGAGAAGAATTAATTCACCTAAGTAAATTAAGACACTGTTATGTAAAAGAAGAATAGATGTGGCATGCCAAAACAACAATGTGTGTCTACCGGAGGATGCCATTACTACATCTAGCACTAATGCTAATGTACACTGAAAATAAGTTGTAGTTTATAAAATTGTTCTGTAATAATCTTGTAAGGTAGGAGGGCGGGTATTATTTTCCAAATGAAAAAATTGATGTCTATGTTTTATGACTAATATCCCAGTTAAAAAAGTGTCATCGATCAAACTGAAGTGTTTTGATTCCTAACCTTATCTCCTTCTGCAATACCACATGACCTGTCTGTATGAAGAAGCTATAGAATAAGCTATGTTAAAAAAAATAGGGTTACTGCTTGAAGCCATGGGTAATGATTGTTACTTGCTCCAGGTTTGCTTTAGTATTTCACTTTATTTCTTAGTCAAACTGCCCATAACCATTGACCGAAGCTCTGACTTCAAAGGCATAGTTGTTATTGTCTAGATTGCATTCCTTCCCACTGAGCATGACTCACCCCTCCTTCCTCTCTATACATCTGAACCATCCACAAATCACTATGGATGGCTCTTTCAGTGGTTTCAGAAATATCCAAAGACATGTGATTCACAGAAATGGGAGAACAACCACTGATTCAACATTAAACATGAAAACTATACTGAACACCCTTTAATGTCTTTTTAATGATTCAGAAGGTAAAGTCATTGTGAAGTTGGAAATGCATATAGTGTTTTGGTGCTTTAAGATGACAGTGACAGGTACCTTAGAAATATTTAGACAGTCATTTGGGATCCTAGGGCCATACCAGCAATCACAGAAGATGGGAGTGTCCAGAAATCTGCCATCCAAGATTAGAAATTTGTCTAGGATCAATGGTAAGGACAGGCTGTTTATAATCTGGAACCATGCCACTGTTTGGATAGGAATAAAGTTCCCTGGGGCATCTCCAGCTGGCAGGCAAAGGACTTCACCATTTCAGGAAGGCTCAAACAGGGAAGTTATTTTAAAATCTAAAAGCAGCTTGCCTTGTTCTTATGTCTTTCGATGTACAATCTGAGGGCTTGACCCCTTCTTTCTGATGTCCTATGTGGTAACTTGTTTTTTAAAGGCCTTTAATTAGAAAAAGGGGAAAAAGGCCTAGGAGGAAATGTGACTGGATGAACACCCCTGCCTGTGGCCCAAGAATAGAATAAGAGGATATGACGGAAGGGGTGTTTAGATTCACCCTAAGGAAGACGTTCGTGATGGTAAATAACAGTTTTTGGAAACTATGGATGGTTGAGGGAAATTATAAGAAACTCCTTGTCTGATGAACTTTTAATATGGAACAGGTTATCTTGTTGGTGATATTATGATAAACAAGATGGTTTTTCAGAATACTTTCTATGATTTTGACTTT